AGAAAAGTATTGAAAACTGATATTTCTCTTTGTTAGTGCGCCACCGAATCGGACCGCCGTGAGGACAATCCTGATGCAGTCTTCTGGAGGGGGCGGAGCCTGGAGACGCAGTCGCACCTTATGTTACAATCCTGATGCAGTCTTCTGGAGGGGGCGGAGCCTGGAGACGCAGTCGCACCTTATGTTACAATCCTGATGCAGTCTTCTGGAGGGGGCGGAGCATGGAGACGCAGTCGCACCTTATGTTACAATCCTGATAATCTTTTGGAGGGGGCGGAGCATGGAGACGCAGTCGCACCTTATGTTACAATCCTGATGGTCTTTTGGAGGGGGCGGAGCCTGGAGACGCACCTGATGTTACATGAACTGATAATGCTGCCGGTTTATATTTATAGAGAATTAACCCTTTATTATTACAGAGTATTTTATACTGAAAATGGCTGCCGCTTCCCATCTGTGCTATACAGCGAGGTCACATGATGCGTGGAAGGGGGAGGGGCTTGCCTATTCTATACAGTGAGATCACATGTGTGGAAGGGGGAGTGGTCACATGATGCATGGAAGCGTCCTCATAAAAACACGACTCTCACATGTGTAACATAAAATATGAAACGTGTTTTATTGTCACGGAGGAGACGGGAGGGGGCCAGACGGGGGGCCGGCCGGAGGTGTTCAGCAATGACCAGCATTCCCGGCGGGCACTTCCAGAACTCTCCGTACCGGTACCGCCCCCTCTCCCGGTACCGCCCCCTCTCCTGGTACCGCCCCCTCTCCTGGTACCGGCCAATAAATAATCCTCCATACCATGGTGCCGCTCTGGCAAAGGATTCTGGGAGTTCCAGCTCGGCTCAGTCCAGCGCACACATAAGGAGGTGCAGCTCCCGGAAGGCACTTCCATACCGGCCGCTCTGAGACGCTCGGCTCTTCACCAGTGACCAGAGGCTGCGGAGGTGCTTGTAGCACATCTTACACTTTGCCAGTCTGCAGAAAGAGGAAAGAGCCCGTCACCCAATGGCAGAGGGGGCGCTCTACGGGGGGGTCACCCAATGGCAGAGGGGGCGCTCTACGGGGGGGTCACCCAATGGCAGAGGGGGCGCTCTACGGGGGGGTCACCCAATGGCAGAGGGGGCGCTCTACGGGGGGGTCACCCAATGGCAGAGGGGGCGCTCTACGGGGGGGTCACCCAATGGCAGAGGGGGCGCTCTACGGGGGGGTCACCCAATGGCAGAGGGGGCGCTCTACGGGGGGGTCACCCAATGGCAGAGGGGGCGCTCTACGGGGGGGTCACCCAATGGCAGAGGGGGCGCTCTACGGGGGGGTCACCCAATGGCAGAGGGGGCGCTCTACGGGGGGGTCACCCAATGGCAGAGGGGGCGCTCTACGGGGGGGTCACCCAATGGCAGAGGGGGCGCTCTACGGGGGGGTCACCCAATGGCAGAGGGGGCGCTCTACGGGGGGGTCACCCAATGGCAGAGGGGGCGCTCTACGGGGGGGTCACCCAATGGCAGAGGGGGCGCTCTACGGGGGGGTCACCCAATGGCAGAGGGGGCGCTCTACGGGGGGGTCACCCAATGGCAGAGGGGGCGCTCTACGGGGGGGTCACCCAATGGCAGAGGGGGCGCTCTACGGGGGGGTCACCCAATGGCAGAGGGGGCGCTCTACGGGGGGGTCACCCAATGGCAGAGGGGGCGCTCTACGGGGGGGTCACCCAATGGCAGAGGGGGCGCTCTACGGGGGGGTCACCCAATGGCAGAGGGGGCGCTCTACGGGGGGGTCACCCAATGGCAGAGGGGGCGCTCTACGGGGGGGTCACCCAATGGCAGAGGGGGCGCTCTACGGGGGGGTCACCCAATGGCAGAGGGGGCGCTCTACGGGGGGGTCACCCAATGGCAGAGGGGGCGCTCTACGGGGGGGTCACCCAATGGCAGAGGGGGCGCTCTACGGGGGGGTCACCCAATGGCAGAGGGGGCGCTCTACGGGGGGGTCACCCAATGGCAGAGGGGGCGCTCTACGGGGGGGTCACCCAATGGCAGAGGGGGCGCTCTACGGGGGGGTCACCCAATGGCAGAGGGGGCGCTCTACGGGGGGGTCACCCAATGGCAGAGGGGGCGCTCTACGGGGGGGTCACCCAATGGCAGAGGGGGCGCTCTACGGGGGGGTCACCCAATGGCAGAGGGGGCGCTCTACGGGGGGGTCACCCAATGGCAGAGGGGGCGCTCTACGGGGGGGTCACCCAATGGCAGAGGGGGCGCTCTACGGGGGGGTCACCCAATGGCAGAGGGGGCGCTCTACGGGGGGGTCACCCAATGGCAGAGGGGGCGCTCTACGGGGGGGTCACCCAATGGCAGAGGGGGCGCTCTACGGGGGGGTCACCCAATGGCAGAGGGGGCGCTCTACGGGGGGGTCACCCAATGGCAGAGGGGGCGCTCTACGGGGGGGTCACCCAATGGCAGAGGGGGCGCTCTACGGGGGGGTCACCCAATGGCAGAGGGGGCGCTCTACGGGGGGGTCACCCAATGGCAGAGGGGGCGCTCTACGGGGGGGTCACCCAATGGCAGAGGGGGCGCTCTACGGGGGGGTCACCCAATGGCAGAGGGGGCGCTCTACGGGGGGGTCACCCAATGGCAGAGGGGGCGCTCTACGGGGGGGTCACCCAATGGCAGAGGGGGCGCTCTACGGGGGGGTCACCCAATGGCAGAGGGGGCGCTCTACGGGGGGGTCACCCAATGGCAGAGGGGGCGCTCTACGGGGGGGTCACCCAATGGCAGAGGGGGCGCTGTACCCATCTATAGACACAAGGCTTCCTATATACATAAAGTGGGCGGAGTTCACGCAGCCCAATGGGCAATGCCATAGGTAGAATCTTACCTCTCCTCACGAGAAATGTCCACGCCCACTGAGGGAGGAGCCGCCAGCGTGTCCGTAATCAGCGGGAGGAACCTTTGTAGCACCAACTTCAGGGACACACAGCCGGTCTGCACGTAGCTGGCAAGACACAAAACAGGAATGAAAAGAAGTGTGGGGGCCACAGGGGCCCATTATCAGATATACATTATATCACCACAAGTACTGGGACGCCTCCACACGCCCAGTCTTAGTCCGTAGGGTTCAGTATTGGGTTGGCTCCGGCCTGTAATGGCCCCCCAGTCTTAGTCCGCAGGGTTCAGTATTGGGTTGGCTCCGGCCTGTAATGGCCCCCCAGTCTTAGTCTGTAGGGTTCAGTATTGGGTTGGCTCCGCCCTCTAATGGCCCCCCAGTCTTAGTCCGCAGGGTTCAGTATTGGGTCGGCTCCGCCCTCTAATGGCCCCCCAGTCTTAGTCCGTAAGGTTCAGTATTGGGTTGGCTCCGCCCTCTAATGGCCCCCCAGTCTTAGTCCGTAGGGTTCAGTATGGGGTTGGCTCCGCCCTCTAATGGCCCCCCAGTCTTAGTCTGTAGGGTTCAGTATTGGGTCGGCTCCGCCCTCTAATGGCCCCCCAGTCTTAGTCCGTAGGGTTCAGTATTGGGTTGGCTCCGCCCTCTAATGGCCCCCCAGTCTTAGTTTGTAGGGTTCAGTATTGGGTTGGCTCCGCCCTCTAATGGCCCCCCAGTCTTAGTCCGTAGGGTTCAGTATTGGGTTGGCTCCGCCCTCT